CATGAGCACAAGGAGAAAATAAAACACATACAAACTCGATGCTTAAAGGCAAAGGAAACTAAACCTGGGGCATTATATTGCGAGGAAACTGTGTCAACAATACTGAACCACCTGTGCTGTCTCAGTCCTCCTCACATGCACCAATACCCAGGAACCCCCCCCCCCCCCCCCCCCCCCCCCCCGTTAAATGCAGACAAATCGGCCACAGTCTTTTTCCTCTAAAGGGCAAGTAAAGGGATTAGAGGTCAAAAACACTAATTACTGACTCTGTCATTTAATCTGGTTGAGACCGGAGATTAGAGTTATAATCCCATCACACTGCCACAGGAAATTATAAATCTGTATAACATCTACCTGGCCTTCCATTATTTTGTCTTTAATAGACTGGGAGAACAAGATGGGAAAAAAGCCCCTTTTACACAGAGTTATATTGCTATTAAGAAGCTCCTTTATTATCCCACCTTTGCTTGTTTGTTTAAAGGCACAACATTCCCACCTTGATCAGGCTGTTTAAAAGGGGCTAAAGATGAAGAGCTGAAGGAGAACTATAGAGTTGAGATATAGAGAGAGAGAGAGAGAGAGAGGGAAGACTCAAGTTTAACCAGGTGTCTGTTATACTGACTCTACTTTCGATCACACCTGTGGACCCAGGCACTAGAGAAAAACTAATCAAAAAATAGTGCAGAGGCAAAAGAGAGAAGCCAAGTCAATTCCCCCTTCAACGTCCCCCCTTCTTAACTGCCGTTCCCCCTTTTCTGTCTGTTGCTCCCTCCCTCTCCCTCTCTCCGGGAGGTAATGCAAATCTGAAGGTAACAGAAGCCAGTCACAGTGGACATGCTTATCCAGACTAGACTGTGTGTGTGTGTGTGTGTGTGTGTGTGTGTGTGTGTGTGTGTGTGTGTGTGTGTGTGTGTGTGTGTGTGTGTGTGTGTGTGTGTGTGTGTGTGTGTGTGTGTGTGTGTGTGTGTGTGTGTGTGTGTGTGTTTGGGGGCGTGTAGATTGAATCCTGCTTCCCTGGGGAGCCTAACTACCTCTCCATCTCTCTGATTCTGACTCCTTGAGAGAGAGGAGGAAAAACAGATTTGGAAAGAATTAGAAAGAGCAGACTGAAGAAAAAAGAGCAGAGCAGTGCAGTTGTTGCTGCAGCAAAGCCCAACAGCTCCCTCTGTCGTCATCTAGAAGTGGTCTAGTACCTCTCTCATCTGTTCTCCTCTTCACTTTTCTTTCAGTTTTCCTTTTGAATTCTGTCTCCTCATCTGCAATGACATCTCCCTGACATTTCCAGCCTCTTTTTTTTCCCTCTTTCACCGTTTCAAAGAAACTAGTGTATAATGCCACGACTTATGAGAATGAGCAGCTGGCGCCTAATTAAATATAAATATAACGATTACAGTGTAATAAATTAATCCCTCTATCTCACCGCCTGCCTGGTGAGCTACGTCAGCAGTATTTGCAGTCAGTTGCCTTTAAACTCCTTCCAGTTGTTTTTTTTTCTGTCTTTAAATTCATCCCTGCACATTTTAACAATATGGAAAAATAAACACAACTTTGGCCACTAATCTTCAAATCTGGCTCATGGCCAGTCAAAGTCAGCTTCACGGGTAAAGACCATCACAGAAGCCTGTCACATGTGTAAACTATAAACCTCACCTGCTATGTTTTTTTGTCTTGTCTGCACTGTCAATCAATTTAGAGATTTCTACAGAGAAGACAGGGCAGACAGAAGAAAAGAGTGAGGGACTATGACTCAAATCAATCAGGGATTATAGTTATTTACCTGGACTCAGCTCAGAGTCACCTGATCTTTTTTAAGCATTCACTGGCCTAGTTGTGTCTTTTCAAACATTGCTGAAGGACACATATTTCTTTCTGCTCGTTGCCGTCATGTACATATTCACAGATTTAATTGTATCTTTACAAACTCTAAGGAACACAGCCATGAAGAAGAATATTTCCATTGCCAGGTCCTGAAACCGCTTTGACGAATCCAACAAATCTGGCGACATTTCTGTGTCAGTTTCTGTGCAAATTTTTGGCTGAACATCAGTGAAAAATCTGATACCTCACCCACCCTGCTTTCATCTGTCATCCAAGCCAGGTTTCTTTATACGGCTCACCCTAAATAGCACAAAGATGTACTGGTACAAGGGAATTCTGTGTTTCTGTCCTGCTTTTAAAGTATACAATCACTTTCCCAGACATAATACCGCACTTTTGCGGGAACTGAAAAGGGAGCTATGCTTGTTCCTGTGATAGCAAAGTGAAGACAGGCTGCAGGTCTCGTTTCAGTTTCAGCTCAGACAGCAGTGGCTCTCGTAAAAGAGTAAGGCGAAATACACTGCTGATAGAAGTCATGTTGCCCTCCTCTCCTCCCCTGCCTCTCCCTCATATCTTGATAGGAGTCATGCTCTTTTCTTCTCAGCTCTGCTCCTCCGATCGCCTGCCCTGTTGTTTCTCCTCGTCTCCTCTCTACACCTCATCTCCTCTGCAGAACACATCCTCTCTCCCCTCATTTTCTCCTGCCTCTCCTCTCTTCATCACAGAGTGAATAACTATGTGACTGATATGCTGTGCAGCTAGAAGAATTAATTAGGGAATTAAGCAAACATGCAAAAGAACAAATCGGGTGTTACTTTGGTGCTATTTACAAAAACCCCTTTGTGGAGCCGCAGTGAGAAGGCTCTGATGTTAAACCCAGTTATTGAGCAAATACAAGATGCAGCAATTCAACACTAGAAAAATTAGGGGGATTCTTTTCTTGTGATGTGTCTTTTAAGTGGCCACTGAACCACAATATATGAACTCTAAAAAGAAAAAAGGGTATTTCTTTACTTTTCCACTGAGATGTTGACTCGTCTGTAGGCTAATTAGCAAAATGCCAATGGCAAAAACATCCAGTGAATTGCTGTCTGAAAAGTAAGGAAATGTGTGTCAAAAAGCTTATTGAGGATGTAACAGAAGTTGCAACCCTTTTTTTTCCTTTTAACAAACTGGAGCTAGTACCACTGAAGGAACTCTATGTGCATCTTTCTGAGGGCTGCAGACTTTTTTAAATAAAAAGACACATCAAGAAACAGCCCTGCGAACCAGCCAAGCCTGGTAAGAACCCCCCTATCGAATAAAATACAACAACAGCAAATGATTTTCTCAATGGCTCCCACAAGAGTGAAGAGTACAGAGGGAGTTAGGGAGAGTGGGGTGAGGAGAGATGAAAAGACTGAGGGAGAGGAGAGCGTGGAGAAAGAGGGGGAAGATGAAATGCAAAGGAGAGAGAGAGGTAGAGGAGTTGGGGGAGCGAGGGGAGACATTTCATAGCGCAACAGTGTGGGAGACAGAAGGAGAGAGAGGTGGAGAGTGAGAGGGAGAGAGATTATTGCCTGCTTGAGAGCAGCAATCTTGAGCTGTGCCATGAATACCAAAGACTGTACAGCCCTACAGTCAACGCCTCTCTCTCTCCCTCTCTTTCTCTCTCTCTCTGCTCCCCCACTGAAAACGCAGCGGAATTGCAGCTACCCAAATTATACACCAATATCTCACTTACTCTCCGCTGAAAACGACTAAGCAGCGGCTCAGTGCTCCACCATACATAATTACAGATATCAGACCAGCACACACGGAGACCCATCCTGCAAGGACACATTTTCAGTAGATTTCAGTAGATGTCTGTGCAACGATTAAAAAATGATCTAATGTGGCCCTACAGGGACGATAAGCCAAACGCACGGACCTAATTGAGTGCAGAATGAGCTTGAATGAGCCTAAGGGCAAGTGGGCTGTGTGCAATTTTTATGCAGTTTCACCGGCACTGGCGCACTCGAAAAGGGCAAGGACGCAGCTCTGCTTGAAGTATTCAAATGGACTGAATACTAAACCGTATGGAGTCTTTAGGGATTCACATTTCAAGATCTTAATTCCACAAAGCGATAATGACCGCTGCAGAGAACAGTCTCTGGGAAAGATGAGAGAACGACGAAAGACGAAGAAAGAGAGAGGAGAAAGGGAAACGGAGAGAAAGAATGAGGTTGTGGTTGATAATTTAAACTGTTAAATACACTTTTACCTGAACGGGAGATAGAAAGTGGGGTAAAATCTCTTTCTGTGAGAAATGGGCCTAAATGGCAGAATATTTATAGAGATTTATATAAATGATTGAGTAAATTATTCTTATGTTATTTCCCTTCATAAATTATGTGATTTGACCATTAAACACACACACACACACACACACACACACACACACACACACACACACACACACACACACACACACACACACACACACACACATTATACCTATGTTGACAGTGATCCAAAGAAAAGTTGTGCGTCGCCGTTACGCGGAGCCGCCGTTAGGCACGGAGACAGCGAAACAGAGCCTGCACCGAGATTAGCCACTATACGTGGCCAGACACACACATACACACAGTCACGGGCACACACAAACACACACTTGCAGACGCGCACGCACACACCAAACGATCGCCAATGTGCAGACACACACCAATACACACCGCGCTGGTAACCTGAAAAATGCTGGCTGTGTTATGTGGAAACCGCACAAATCCAACCGTCATCCAGTGGTCCCGGGGACCGAAGAAAGTCTGCACTGTTACAGCCAGCAACACAACAAATACACCCAAGTCTTAATGTTTAATGCGCAACGGCTCTGAGGGGTTTCTGTAGGATACTCCTCATTTGCTCAAACATAACGAAGTCCGACATCCTCTCACAGTGAACTTTTTAGTATGTATATGCCTTGATTGTGTGACAACCCGGTGTTTGGATTCATCCAGAGACGAACCAGAATCTCACCAGCATCCCGGCAACCGCACCACTTCATTACGCTCTCTCGCCTGCTTTTTACGCTTAGTAAAGCCTCTGCAGAAAAAGACGCACGGACAGCGAGGACAGAGAAACGGACTGGGAAAGATAGAGATGAATGGGGCTGTGTTGAGGTGACAACGGCAAAATCCCAGTCCTTAAACTCGAGCGGTCCTTACCTTGGAAGTGAAAGACTCCGTGCGCAGCCCGTCTGCCCAAGGAAATTTCCCCAATACATAGAAGCCAGTAGGAAACGCTCACTTCTTTCAACTTGTATTGCTTCTTATATCAGATGTCCAACACATCCACTGATTAAAACCCCAGTGTGTCTTTTTGTGTGCGCTTGGAGGAGAGGGGGTGAAAACTAAGCAGAGCCAAGTCGGTTCTCCCCGGACCCAAAATGTTCTTTCTCCTATTTTTTTTATCCGCTGGAGCGCAGAGGCAAAAAACACCAAACCAAACAAGCTGGGTTCAAAGATGAATAAAAAAAGAGAGGGTTAAAAGACGGAGCAGTAGTGCGTCTTGATAAGGTTCCGAGATTGAAGTGATGAAGAGGAGTAGTGGTGGTGGTGGTAAGGAGGAGGTGGGTGTCGGGAGAGAAAAGAGGGAAATCACCGTAGCATTCCTCCCCACTTCGTGTATCAAATCCGGTACCGTCAGCGCCGTTTATCCGTCCTCCCTCCAAGAGCCTCGGAAACGGTGTGAGGGAAACTGAACGGGCGGGCAGCAGCAGCAACGAGAGAGGGAGAGAGTGAGTGAGGGAGGGAGAGAGATAGGGAGAGAGAGAGATGTCGCTGCCGATGGAGGGCGTTGGAAACTAGAGTAACCCCATCTCTCCTCTTACTTTCTCTTCTCACTTTATTCGGCTTACTGTAGTAATCATATAGTATTTTTGTTATTTGGATGCTATTTAAACAGCCAGGCATAGGACTGGAGGAACATGTTGTGGCAGACAGAAAACAAATACAATCAAGTACAATAAGATGTCAGAACAGTCACTTTTGACTGGCAGAGATCTGATAGAACAGTATAGTATTATAGTATATTTTCATGTAAATTTATTTAGATGTTTCTGCTACTGTTTGTAAGGGCCACTTGTGCTGAATAAGATCAGAGTAAGACGCGGTAAGACCTTATTTCCTCTTTATTGTGACACTGCCAGGCTGTTTCATATCAAAATCCAGACTGAGAGGCTGCAGCAGAGGAAGCCCTGCAGAGGGGGGTAAATGAATGCAACAGTTGCTCTTTCCCCATTGGCTGAGAGCAGCATCCAACTGCTCCCAGGGAAGATTTAGAATCTTGTAGAGAGCCAGTGAGAGGAGAGGAAGAGAGTGTGAGGGAGGGGCAGCTGTGGGAGACCCTTCTTTCTGAGAGGGGATTGGCTGAATAAAAGTCCCATTTAAAATATCTCCAGGCCAGTGAAAAAAGAGAAAATACTTGTGGAAAAATAAAATTTTAGTCAGGTGGAACAGATGGTTTATGACTCTTTCCATCCATATGTCTTTAAGAATTAAAGCAACATTTGTTATTTATTCATTGTATTTACTCATAGAAACCCATATAAATGTATCTTTACAGATTTGTGGCTTTCAACCATATCCCATTACAACCATGTCTCTTAAAAATTAAGTTAATATAAACAGTTTTCTCACTTCCTGGTGGCAACTTAATCTCTGTCTGGATTACGTTCAGAGGCATCTTTTTTTTTTTTTTTTAATGAATGGATGAATGAAGTAGCAAGTCCCTAAAAGGTGTTTGGGTTGGAACAATTGACAACACCAAAATAGGGAAAGGGTATGTTTTGCTGTCACTGCATACTTTTCTGTGTTCATTGTGCTGCATGTTTGAATATTTTAGTGGAAAACAAATAGCCAATTATGTAAATAAACAATTCAATTTCAATTATTGTTTGTGTTAAGGCTAGGTTAGCACAAAAACTAGCAGCAGGAACAAGCAGACAGGCTATTGTTTGTATTGTTTGTATCAGTTACTTCTGTCAGTTATACTGGATGTACTGGTGACGTGTTTGTTAACTAACAGTGTAACAGTATGAAACGTGTGAATCATGTTGTTGTTGCCTGTCATAGAAACATTTTTTTGACACAACCTGCAGCTCACTTGAAGTGGGAAATTTTGTGAAACCTATTTTTAAACACAGAACATATTCAAATTGCTCAAAGCTCATAGCCTTTGTAAATTTTTGGATGTATTTCGGGCGTTAATGGCAGAGGTTTGAAAAGCTCCGATCTAGTGCTCATTTGCAAGAGGAACAGCAAGGGCTTTTATTCAATGGGGAACAGTAGAAGATAATACACGTTTTCATTATGGCGTTCAGCATGCCTTTATTACCTTGGATGAAAATTGACATGATTAGATTAAAAGGGCAGGTTGTCAACGCAATTAAGGGATAGTTTTTACCATAATGAATGAACATGTGAATAAGAGCATCTCTTTTTGCACAAAGTCTTTTTATTTCAGTCTGCAGACAGTTTAAAAATTTGTTTCAATAAATTAGTCGTAGCATATATTTAAATCAATGCATTCTTAAGGAGACTGGATTACAGACCATAAGACAGTGTATTAAGTGTATATATATACTTTTAAAGCCTACGTGTGCAAGGGACAGTGAGGAATAGACTTTCCCTGTTCAAAGACATAAGAGTTTCATTGTTTTTTTTAAAGCTGAGTGAGGATAAAACTGTTGCAACAATTTTCACCCCAGTAAACATCTGGACATCAGAAAACTTTAGGTCATCATTTTTTTAAAACCCTGATTTAATTTTTTTTATTTGGTTAGTGGAAGCATTTTTGTTTAGTTGAGAAAATGTATATTAAAACAACCATGAGGCTTCTTAATTTCTTCAAAATACAGAATGGTCTATTAAACATAGAATAAAAGTAGTAATAGGCAAAAGGACTGCTATACTTAAGGTGCTTACAGTACATCACAGTGGTTCCAAGCACTCCCATTTGTGTGTTATTATTTACTTCTAATGTCAAGTGAGTTTATATTTGAACTTACTGGTAAAGGAAAATAAGTGTAAACCATAACTGAAGGGATATCAGTTTGACAGAACCACCCTAGACCATCAGTTTAGCATCCCAGCAGGGTCATGAAACCATGTTCCCCCCTTTTTATAAGAAGTTGGTACAGTCTAGTTTAATTGCCGTCCAAAGCTCCTGAAGTGGACTGGGGCATTTTTATTCTCATAAATAAACACGCACCTTGTTTGATGCAGTGAGCTTGGTAGTCAGAGGTCTTGGAGTGTGAACAGTCAAGTGGGCTGATTAGTATCTCTGGCCAAGACAGAAATTTACAGTTAGCTAATGTGAGGTATTCTCTGTCTAGATAATGTATTAACGAGACAGATATTCTTTCTAATCTTTTGCCATAGGTTTTGCAGTAAGTGTTACGATAGAATGAGCTGAAAGTGTCATTCCATGTAACTTTACCTCTGGCTGTTTCCATCATGAACCTTATTTTCTGATCCCTATCCACCAAGACCATTGATTCTGATCAAAATCATCTCACCAGCATCAATTTTTAAACACACATCTTCACCCTGTCATGACACATGTATGTAAAAAGATGTGAAGTCATGCCTCTCTCATACAGTTTTAATGCTGCCTTCACAGTAGGTCATGGGTAATCTGAAAATTAAACATAGACATGACTTTTTAGAGCATCATTGTGTTTGCTGCTTTTGATTTTCTTGAGCTTCACTGTGTAAAGTTACTTTATAGTTAAGAAAGATAGATACTAGTCAGCATATTTTTAATCCTCAAATAACAGAGACAGAGAAAACAGAGTAATGCTTAAAAGGAGAAAATAGTATTTTTCGTATTATTCATTCATCCGGAAATTGAAACCACAACATTTTGACCACAGGCTCGCTCCTTAAACCTTTAAGTGATCACTGGCTCTCAGCAGGCTCGGCATTTACATTAATATATGTCATGAAGAGCATTTGAAACTTAAACATTTCACATTGGGGAGAAGTTCAGTAATGCCGTGTGTGGTGGCCACAATGAGAGCCTGCAGTCTCATGTTGTAAACATTCAGCTGAGACAGCAGTCCTAAGAGGTCTGGAGACGAAAGACAATTCTGTTGTTGTACATGCTGATCCACAAACCCCAAACAGAGAGGATATATACAACCATGAGCTAGGCCACACACAGGATTCACAAACACACACAATATCTATGTAGGTACACTCGAACATATGTAGACAGGCACTTGTTGAAAACAGCAGAAATAGAAGCTAAAAATCAATTTAAACATAAAGAAAGATTGTAAGAACAGTCAAAACAAAAGACAGAGAGGGAAGCGAAAAGAATGAGAGAGATCTTTTCCCTTTTCCCCCCTTTGTGTGTTTGTGTGTGTGTGTGTGTGTGTATGTAGAGATGATTCAGTCTTGACAAAGGATATTTAAGCCTCAGTTTGTCTGTTACCGTCTTACGGGTGATTGGACATGAGTGAGAGAACAGACACAGCTTTTTCACAAAAATAGGCTCGACTGACTACAACCAGACCTCAGTGTTGTTCACACTCTGATGCTGTAAATGGTTTGATTTTTCAACTGTGCATGTACTGAAACATGCATATACTTGGTTTAGGATAATTAAGATGTTGAAAAGCTTAGTTTTCTTGAGCAAATCTGTTCTGTGTCCAAAATGTTAATGGTAAATGTTCTTGTTTGCACTTTTAAATTGAACTGACAATCAATCATGGCATCCTTGTGTGACTGAACAGCTTCATTGTTGTTGATCTGTTGATCTCAGTAACCTATTGAACAGGAAAAATGTTGGACACTAATTGGAATTCAATTGATAGATTGGCTACATGCTCAATATTGTCACCAAGCTGTGGATTTATATTTGTATTTGTAAGTTGACCTGCTGGTTGTGCATTAGGCCTATTTGCCTTATGGCCTGAACAATGTCTGTCCTCAGAGTCCAAAGGAAAATACATGCCACTAACTCACTTTGTTCCTTTTTTTTTTTATTCTGGGTAAATTACTTTTTAAGAAGTTGGTGTAGTTTTAGGTTATTTGCATAAAAGCCCCTAACCAGTGAGGAAAAGCTCATTGAGCAAGCCAATGTGATGCAGAGTGGCTTATAAAACTTCACTTTTGCGTAACTCATGTTTCACTGGAAAATGATAATTTCATCATACATGTGATAAAACTCTTACACACAAAATACTCGATGGCTAACAATAATACAAAATGCTGTTATTGTTTACAAAGGTATTTATAGAGCTCTGAAAGTACAGAGGCCTTACTTTGTAAAACAGGAAATAGGAGTTTTTATTCAGTGTTGAAAAAGAAATTTGGATTCAACCTTACAGCTGCAGTTTTCTAAAAGGATTCTACAAAGAAACAGACAAGAATCTTGAATCAGTGTGTTGCTCTTCAGTAGTACATATATAGCTCTCAGCAACATCTTTGCAATATATTGCCATCATGCTCACAGTTCACATGTTCTCTATATACAGCACCTAGGGCATAGGGTGAGAAAACTGTCTATTCTCCAGATGCCATAACAGTTGTCATTTTCACAGTTTGTGTTGATAAAAACCTAATAGGTCTGTGTTTTCTCGTGTGAAGGGTAACCAACTCCTGGGGGTTACTAATGACAGTCTCAGTCTATAGAGTGACCTCAAATAATCTCCTACCCTATT